TCCCCTCTAGCCACTGCGGATGGACCGGTTGACCAAGGGATCAAGTGGGTGTTCACTGGAAAGACCGAGGAGCCTGCTGCAAAACTGGCCAGGGCAGGAGAACGTCTGTCCSTCTGCTGACTCCGGGACCTCGCTGCCCAGGTTGCAGCTGGGAAAGCTGCCAAAGGCACGAAGCTGACGCTCTGCCCAGCACCAAGATCTGGCGCCAGGGCCTCTGCTGCGGCTGCCTCAAAAGAAAACACTTCCTGCTTCTCCCCAGGGCTCTGCCCACCTGCTGCTTCTGGTTTCTCTGCACCTTCCGGGCAGGTGACCTGGGGGATGCTAGCTGCAGGAGTAGGGAAATGTCCTCGCTCACCTTCCAAGAGGTTGAGAGGGGACCGAGTCGGGTCGGTCCTCCGTCTTTGCCCCAGCCCCCTCCTTACTTCCTCAACCTCCATTTCCACCCTGTGTTCCTGCTCTCAATTTCCATAAACCCACCACAAAATGTGGCCCCCGGACCTGAGGCCATGCATCTCCATCCAACAAGCAACGGCTCATCTTTYCTCTGAGACAAACCTTTCAACCCAGGCAGTTCTGTGGCTGCATCCGCCTCCCTCAGCAGGGAGCCTGGCTGGTGTTCCCTTCTTTCCTAGCTTAGTCACATCCCTTCTTGGTACCCTGTAATCACCCTCCTCTCTGCCCATCCTGTTTGCCCTGCACCTTCAGCAAGCCCTCGGTGCGGTGGGCCAGAGGTTTCCACTGCGCGGGATCATCCGGCTTCAGGCAGGTGGGCCCTGAGCTCGGGGTGGTCCTCCTCATACTGGGTTGTCCTCTTACCTTTGAGTAGCGGCCATGGGATGAGAAGGCACCAAAGGACTTCAGGGGATCCGGAGATACTTCCTCTCCTTCTCACTGGGCAGCAGAAACTGCTTGACAGCCAGAATCAATGACCGCAGCCAGCCTCCCCTCTGTTCCCCTGAGCATGAGGATGGACGGCTTGACCACGGGTGGAAGAATGTTCTTCCTTTGGACACTAGAATCTCTGAATGGCAGACCCCAGGGTAATGATGAATGGGGGCAAAATTTTATAAATTATTGTGAGRATGGCCTTAGGCCTGAGACTAAGCAACTCCATTTTAAAAACTCCAGTTTGAAACCTTCAGTCTCACCAGGCACATCCACAGAGCCCTCCAGTGTGGCCTCAGACAAGTTACTTCCCCTCGCCCTGATMAACAGAGTGAAGCCCCTGGCAGTCTATTCCCGAGAGGATGAGTCTCTACAACCTTCATAATGAAAGGAACCCAGGGTAGCCAGCCGACCAGCAGGTGGCAGGCTGGTCCTCTTGTGACCGGGGACCATATTGAAGGCTGAGAGTCCCTGTTCTTGTCATTTGGGTCTCAGCTATGGTGGGGGGACTAAGACTGATAATAGACACCCAATGTCCACCATCCTCTCCTTCCTGAGTCAGATCCTCCTTTTATGAAGGTCATCCGTATACCCAACCAAAAGAAAACATTTCCAGGTTTCTTAACTACTAGATGAAACCATGGAACTAAGTTCTAGCCAATGAAATGGTGGAAGGGGCCCCCCATGGTACCCTCCCGTCATTTTTTCTTCCTGCCGCTTGGATTGAGTCTGTAAAGGCTAAAGCACCTGTAGCCATCTTGGACCTGAGATGAACTGGAGGAGGGAAGCTAAGAATGTGCAAACTGGATCCCTGAGGACTGTGGAGTCACTATATGTAGGTCCTAGAGAAAAGAGAAACAAAATGACCTCTGACTTAAACCTCTCTCATTTGCAGTTTTCGGTAATATAAGTCACACCCAATTCCAACTGTCACACAGCGTAAATGAGGTGGCAGGGGAAGTCCAAAATAAATCAATAATTGCAGTAAGTATAAATGGATTGAGTATCTAATCAAAAGACAGAGGCTTTCAAAAGCAATTTTTAGGCTATTTATATGTCATTTCTAACAGAGTCACAAAAGRAACAAAAATCAAAAATAAGGCAAGTGCTTTATATTACGGTCTTTGAGATCCATGAACTTGGAAGAAAAAAAAAAAACATATGCCTTTATTTTCACTAATTGGAATCAGTAATAATAGAAGTGCTTATGACCTTGATCTCAATATTATTTAGAAATATTTTCATATCCCTTTATAGCAGCATCCTAAAATAACTTTAACTCCTATCATTGCTTCAAATCACAATAATTACTAGGCCTGTTTTTGGATCATGTCACTTGGTACATTAATTTAAAAATGTATACAATATATCACAATTATTTTAACTATCCTAATAGCTATCTTAATGCAATTAGTTTGCTTTGTAATTCTATGCTCTTAAAATATTATTTTGAAAAAGGGAGGATCCTAATCCTGATGTTGCCTCCCTGACATTCTGGTCCAACTTGTGCATGGGCTGAGTGTATGCCTGTGCCCAGGACATGCTTAAGACAGGGAGCCCTGGGTTTGTCCAGGACTGTCCACTGAAGCTGGAGGTGACCTCTGGGAGGCATAGGAGGTGTGGCATTGAGAGTGTCTGCTATATCCACTGTGTCCAGCACAACTGTCCATCCATTGTTTGAGACTCCTGCTGGACTCCTGTCACCTGGAACGTGTTCTCAACTCACCCACCCCTCCACTCCCCTCCAGACCACTGGCTATCCAGTATTGCCACAGGACCTAGTACCTGATCGTGTTACAGTGTTTCACATCTCTCTGTTAACTTCTGTCTCCTTCACAGCCTCTGAGAATCCCAAAGGCTGGAACCAAGTCTTATTTACCTCTGATTCCCTAGTGCCAGTTCAGGCCCTGGAACACAGTATTCATTATGTACAAGCTAACACCTGTAGGGCATTTACCAGGGGGGAATCTCTCTTTCTCTTTCTCTCGTTCCCCATCCCAACCCCGTCCCCAGGAAGTAGTATGTTGATCTAGATGCCATAGAGTTGAAAAAAAAAAAAAAACCTCAATTTTAAGCTAGAAGTGAATTTTTTGGTTCAGCTGTGGGAGAACCTAGAAATACACTTTCAGGCATGACTGGTTCCAGAGAGTCAGCACCATCAGAGTTCTTCCCCAGCACCACCACCACCCTCTCTCAGCTCTCGCACAATGGGAAATAGCCCATTAACTCAGCAGAAAAGTAAGGGCTCTGACTCATTCCATGTCAACGGCCTATACATGCTGACAGGGGCTGGAAGCACAAATGGCAGTTCACAACAAAGAGAAAAGTAAAATCCTCCTGAGCAGAGTAAACTTTTGTCACCATGATCCACCATAGGGGCAGGGTACTAGGGTTGCCCCATTGAGTAAATCAGGAAAGAGAGGCCCCGAGTGATGAGCTCACTCGCCTACGTGCAGAGCAGGTAATAAGTGCTCAAAGCAGGATTTGAAGTGGTTGGTCTGATGCCCAGGTCTGCACCTTGCCAGTCTGTTATGCCAGCTCCCTGAGGGATCTGGGGTGGGTGAGAGTCCAGGACTCCAGTGCAAACAAACTCAGGTTTGAGGTCAGTTTCTAAGACTCTGATTTCTSTGAACTCGAGTGTTCTCATCAGTAAATTATAAGCAATAACAGTATCTGTCTTGCGAGGAGGATTAAATGAAATCTTTCAAATCCAGTAATAGCCTCAGCATCGGGCCTGGCACATAGCTAGAACTGTATGAACGTCAGCCTCTACTACAACTGTGCATTGAGTAAAAAGGGGGTGGATGGTGCCTAGACTCGGACCCGCAGATTCTGGAAGATTCCCTCACCGAGGGGATGGCATGAGGTAGGGTCAGGGAGGGCTTTGGACCTCTAATAATATCCATCTCACTGGAAATGCATCCAATCTCAGGCCAGGGCAGGACAATCCATTGAGGACTCTGGGGGCCTGCCAGGCCAGCAGGGCACCCTCATTTCCCCAGCTCTAATGAAACCTGGCCCCAAACCTCCCCTGTCTAGAGGACATGCTTTGTCCCGAGACAGGAGATCCAAGCCTCTGCTCCCACACGAAGGTTCCAGATCTCAGAGGAATGAGCAACTGGAGGCTGAGGGCCTCGACCCTCTCTGAGGGCTGTGTATGGCGGAAGGGGAGGGGGCCTGGCACGGAGAGGTCAGGCGTGGGGSATGAGGCAAGCTCTACCAGTCTCCACAGTGGCTCCCAGGTGTTCACCTCCATCTCTGTGGCTGAGAGGGTCGGGTCTAGGAAACAGAGACACCAGCCTCACTGCCCGAGCCTGTCCCCTAATTTCCCCCATCCCCATCTAAGACTCCATCCCATCCCTCAGAGAAGTCTCTGATTCACTCATTTCTGCTGGACATCTGGGGACAACTTTGGCCACCTTAGCTGGCGATTTGCCCTTCCTATGTGGTTTTTGCCAAGTCACTTAACGAAAACAGCTGGATTTAGGTAGAGTCACAAAGTGGGTCCACACCAGGACTTCACTGGTAAGTGACAGAGTCAGGATGTAAACCCATTTCCTTTACCACCAATTCGAATGTCCCTTTTGCCAAGGGGGAAAAAAAATGAGGATGACTGAGTAGATCTGAAGTTTCCTCCAGCTGAGATAATAGTTTCGTTAATCTTACTGCTGCTTTTTGTAACTCCTGACTCCCAGTGGTTGCCCCAGCCCTGCCCTTTCAGTTTCATCCTTTCCCTCAGTGAAAGAGAGAAAAGGTCACTCAGCAGAGGAGCTTGGACATCTAACATCTCACACTGACCCACCCACAGTCTACCTGAGAAGTGTGTCCACAGTCACCTCCTACAGAATGACACCCACCCTCTGAYCCACTCTTACTGTCCCAAGCCCTCGCCCCTCATCCATCAGTGTGTGAGCAGAGGGGTCCCTACGAACGACAGCGAGACACCCAGGGGCACAGCACACCCGTCTGCTCTGGGACACGCGCCACACCCTCTCAGCTAAACCAGGGGGCGGCTCCTCTCGCCAGCCGGGTCCTGCCCCACAACCCACGTCTGTCCGGCCCGGAGCCGCCAGGGACACACCCCGGGGGAGGAGCCACCCTCGGGCTGTCCCGGCACAGACTGGAGAGCAGTTCTCGGTTCCGCTGCCCCAGCCAGCGCCCACGGGAGACGACATGGCCCAAGAGCGTCCTTCCTGCACCCTGGAGCCTGAGCACCTGCAGCGGCTGCTGCTGTCCTCCCAAGAAGCCAAGAAGTCCGCCTACTGTCCCTACAGCCGCTTCCCGGTGGGGGCCGCCCTGCTCACCCGGGACGGGAGGATCTTCTCGGGTAAGGGCGGCCGCCGGGGCCCCTCCTCGGCAGCCTGGGCGGGGGCCAGGGGGGGACACGCAGGGTGGGCGCCCAGGAAGGTGGAGGGAGACGGCGCTGGGCCTCCCAGTCCCTCTTGGGGCCYCCCAGTGCCTCCCTGCCTCCTGCCCCCACTGCGGTAGGACGTGTCAGCAGGACTGGAGAACTGCTCCCGCGGCTGTCAACTCTTGGAGGTGGGGCAGGAGGGTCGCAGGAAGGGAGGCCCCTAAATCAAGACCATCTGCCGTCCAGGGCGCTGGGAGGGAAGGGCGAAAGCCTTGGGAGGCTGCCTGCGCCTGGCACCTGTTGAGGCCTCCTGGGGATGGAGCAAGCCCTCAGCTCCCACCCCSTCATCTAGGTGTTACGCCCATTTTTAGATGAAGAACCTGAGGCCCAGAGAGGCGGCAGGACTCTCCCCAGGTCATAAGGGGCACTGGTGGTGGAACCCAGGGTTGGGGTCCCCAAAGTCCTGCTCTCTTCCCTGGACTCAAGGAGGTGGCATCCTCAGTGGTGGGGCAGGCCTGGCAGAGGGTCTTGGAGGAGAGAGGCCAGGTGAGGTGAGGGTGTCCGGCAATGACAGGMAGCCCCGGGAGGGGGCAGGAAGCCACCAGAGTCTGCACAGCGGCTCCTAGCCTCCTTCCTGTCGCTTGCTGGTGCTGTGGGAAAACTCACCTGGGGCTGGGGTGCAGCTCAGTGGGAGAGCACTTGCCTGGTAAGTTCCAACACCAAATAACGAAATAATTTAMAATAAACAAATGTTATCTGTACTCAAATTCAAACTCGTTTTCACTCAGCTTAGGGACAGCAGGGGACATGGTATGGTGGTGATAGGAAGCCAAGGTGCCCCGTTGAGTCTCTTGAATGTTGAGGTTCTGTTAGGTCTCATGAGACATCGGGGTCTCAGGTCTTTGAGCAGAACCCTCCACGGACTGTTGGCTTGTGACAGGAAGGCCAGGAGCACTATTCATTTAGTCCTTACAACCCCACAAGGCAGAGAAGGAAACTGAGGCTCCGAGCAGGCACATGCCCAATATCGCAGAGCTGAGATGGGAACCCAGATTTCCCTGACTCCAAAGTCTGCTTCTCTATAAGGGACAAAAAGTCTCTGTCACATTTAAGCTCAGGCATGGCCTGATATTTCTGTGAGTGTTGAACATTAACCAGCACCAGGAACAACTCTGTGGAGTGCAGTATTACAGCATCGWGAACAAGGAATCCGCACAGTCTTGGTGCTCACCTGTAATCCCAGCAGCTCAGGAGGCTGAGGCAGGAGGATCATGAGTTCAAAGTCAGCCTCAGCAAAAAGCAAAGTGCTAAACAACTCAGTGAGACCCTGTCTCTAAATAAAATACAAAAAAAGACTGGGGATGGGGCTCAGTGGTCAAGTGCCCCTGAATTCAATCCCTGGTACCAAAAAAAAAAAAAAAAAAAAAAGCTCCATGTCCCTCCAGATGGTACAGAAAGCCTCTATGCACCCCAGCACCTACAGTAACCCCTTCCAAGGCACTTCCTGTGTGGCATTGTCACTGTCCATTTACATGGTCACCCTGTCCCCAACTTTGTGCTGCCACAAGACAGGAGCTGTGACTTGGATCTTTGTGCCATTGGTCTCCTGCAGCGACACAGCACTGGCCTGGTCCAGGGCTGGCCCTSGTTGTTGACTGACTGGATGGATGAATGGAGGTGTTGGCCTTGAGGCTGAGTTAGATTGAGGAGGCAGAGGCGTCCAGGGGCCAGTGGTGGGGGMTGGGGTCCATCACGTCAGGCCACAGCATTTCCTAGGCTGGGGAACCACTCTGGCTGTCTTCCATACTTGTTTTCCAGCAACAGGACTGGTGTCCTGCTTGGACAAACAGGTGACCAGACAGGCAAYGGAGCCAGCCCTCCAAAGCCGGATTCTATGTCGGAATACTCTGGTTCTGCTCGCTCTTTCTTTCTTTCTCCCCCCACCCCTTACTTCACTTTTTTCTCCTTCTTTCCACCTACAAAAAAAGAAGGTCACTCTCAGGTGGCCCCTGGGAGGTCGGCAGAGTGAAGCCTGGGCCTTGGTCATTCCCACACTGAGCATCGACAGGTACTTGCTGAGCCAACTCCATGCCAGGTCACGTGCCAGTGCTGGGTAGACCTCARCGAGCAGAAATGACATAGCCCTGCCCTCACGGAGGTCCCCTTGCCTCACTCAGGCAGGAGCTTCCGTCAAGGTCGTGGGGAGTATAGGATGGATCTGGGCTGGCGCGGGCCCTAGTGAAGCACAGGAGAGGCTCAGGAGTGTCGGGTCAAGGTTCTGGGGTCAGAGTGTGAATCCTGGTGCTGTTGTGTGACCCTGGGGGCTAGACTTCACCCTCTGAGTCTCAGCTGGCACAGTGACAGAGCAGTTGTCTTATCGTCCACCTTCAGGATTGCTGAGCAAGCACAGCGCTGCGCCCAGCTGGCGTGCCCCATGTGATGAGGAAGGAAATAGGGAGCCGATGATTGTCACTGAGGAGAGGAGTGACATCAGAGTGGTGCTGAGGACAATTTGGYCGCTGGGTTCTGGAGGAGGGCTGGACACAGCAAGCAGAGTCAGGGGCTGGTGTCTGTTTTGGTCACTGACCTGTCCAGTGAGTGTGTGTGTGTTACCTGGCTCATAACGGCTTCCCAGTTAAGGCTTGTGGAACACATGAAGGAACGGCTCCTACAGGGATGGTGGCAGGCCAGGTGAAGGGGAAGGGAAGATCTGAGAGACTCTGCGTGGGACAAAGGGACGGGACTGGGACGGGCTGTGTTAGAAATGAAGGGCAGGAATGTGGTACTGGATCTGCAGGGGGGWGGGGCAGGGACGGATGAGGCCTCACTCACCGTGGGATGCTGAAGGCAGAGCTGGGCTGTGCTGGGGACAAGGTGGCAGGGACCAACAGCGATATTAGTACCTAGGATGGCCGGAGCACTCGCTAAGCGCTTGGTGGAGAAGATCTCCTGGAACGTCACAGCCACCACGTTGGGGGCGAGTAAGGGCCACCACATCCGTCAAGGTGATCGCCCCTAGAAATCACRGAGCATCGCAAGCACAATGGGCCAGGTGGCACTGCTCCCCGGGGAAGGCTGACCCGGGAACTCAGGTCACCACGCCCTTCCTTATCCTGTGGACACTAGTTTCTTCCTTTTACCCCAAGGGCGGGCATTCCCAGGTAGCAGGGAACACAAGTGCAGGCTGAAGCTGGTTCTCATTCTTMCAGCCTCAAACCCAGAGGGGAAAGAACTCCTTCCCACCAACTCCTGATGGAAAAAATTCCAGAGAAGGACTCTGATTGGTCCATTYCGAATTACGGGCACATCCCTGGGCCAATTGGTTGTCCGGATGGGGTAGTGTGATTGGGCCAGCTGATGCACCTATCCCTCCTCCTTGGGAAGAGGAAGCCCCCGATACCACAGAATGGGGCTGGGGTGGGGACTGTGCCAAGCAAAACCAAAAGATGACCAGTTCCCAAAATGGGACAACTGAGACTCAGTTTGATCTGATTCCAAATGCCATGCACTTTTGGTGGTCGCTTGGGACTGGGTGGATATGCAGAAGGGGCAGAGAGAATGTGCTGGAAGGAGAGGGCAGTTCACAGAATTCCTGTGGACMCTAGCAGCAGGCGTGGCTTGGAGAAGAGGCTCTTGAGTAACCCTGGGAGACCTGACCTGGGCTCCTGAGGTGGGTTAGAGGGATTGGAGGGTAGAAAAGGCACAGCCGATTTTAGACCCTGTGAGTTCACAGCTTACCGCAGTCACTGCCCAGTTCTGTGACTTTGCTCAAGAAGAAAAGCCCAGCGCCCTGGAGTTCCTCAGCGGTGGCAGCCGGGGTCCCATCCTGTTCCAAATCAAGTCTGGCTGCAGAGACAGCCTCACCGTCGCGACCTTGTAATGATCATCTTTTCCCCTCTGTCACTGTCGCCCTGGCCAAGGCCTTGTGCCTCTCACAGATGGGCCACCCAGGATGGTTACCTCCAATAACTGCCTCTTCATCAYGCACTGCCGGCTGTGGATGGGACATTCCGTGGCTGGAGACATTCAGCAGTTGTTTGCGGGGAGGAAGGGAGGAGGAACTCGCCGGTGAAGAAGGAGCTGCTGAAGGAAAGGGAAGTTAGGAAAGGAGGAGGGTCAGGACAGAGGAGGATTGGGAAACCGAGGGGAATGGAGTCTGGGTTGGAGGCTCAGCCTGTGTTTGTGGGCAGAGATGATGGTCCTAGAGCACCAAGGCTGACCCTAGGGTGGTGCGAAGGTGTCCCTCCCCCCACACACACCTGGCAGTGACCTATCACACACCAGAAAGGGTCTCAGGCCAGTGTCCCAACACAGCATCTCTTGGTTTCGCTTCTTCAACTCTTTACTGAGCCGGGATAGTGGTCTCTCTCCCGCTTTCCTATCCATCTGCCATTTAGGGGGAAAACCACTTTACTGGACCAGCTGTGAGAGGAGCAGACCTCTTTTTTTTTTTTTAAAGAGAGAGAGAATTTTTTTTAATATTTATTTTTTAGTTTTTGGCGGACACAACATCTTTGTTGTATGTGGTGCTGAGGATTGAACCCAGGCCGCACGCATGCCAAGCGAGCGCGCTACCGCTTGAGCCACATCCCCAGCCCAGGAGCAGACCTCTTTAAGACACTTAAGGATGTCCTGCTTCATTGTGAAATTCAGCGGGCCTTGGTCAACCCTTCAGTCTGTCTTCAGTCTTTCTTCGAACAAACCAGCCCCCCTCTCCACTTCCTTCCCAGCGGTCCCCTTTTTGTGCCTCAGTGCCTGCACAGGGTTGACTGGCTCCACTCCCTGCACCCTAGCCTTCCGCTCTTCTGGGTTTGGGTCAGGTGTCTCTAACCTGCTTCTCAGTTCTCAGCTGGGTATCTCTCCTCTCAGCACCCCCACACCCCTGTTGCCCTCTGTCTCCCCAGACATCACTTAGTTCTCTCTACTGACACTCAAAAGTGGCTCCTCGCGGAGATGAGCATTGCTAAAATCCCTTG